GCATAACTACAAAGACAGTGGGATTTTGGAAAACTCGAGTGCTTCTCTGCATTCATCTGCACCAGCACAGAGACATTACCATTTCCAAAAGATGAAACTGGAGCCAAGAAAGGCTAACGAAGCAACCAGAACTGAGCGGGGAAACTGCACTTTTTTTCTTTAAAAACACTAGTAAAAGCTTTCCAGTAGTGTTCTACAACAAAAATAGTCAAAGAACCTTCTTTTAAGATACACTGAATTTGTATTAAGCATGTTGGGGCTGATAAACACCGCTAAGCTTGGAATGCCCAGCTAGGGGACTGGTGCACCTACAAACATAAGATCTTAGAATTGCAGAGTCATGGAATTAGTCGGGTTGGAAAGGACCTCTGAGATCATCAAGTCCAACCCTTGATCCAACACCACTGTGGTCACTGAACAATGGCACTAAGTGCCACATCCGGTCTCATCTTAAAAACCTCCAGGGACAGTGACTCCACCACCTCCCTGGGCAGCCCCATTCCACTGTCTGATTACCCTCTCTGTAAAGAATTTTCTTATTTAAAGCTGATTAAAACCTCTGAATCACAGAGATGTAGAAATATACTGCCCTAAATTTAACATATTCCAGATTATCAGCATATGATCATGACCTTGTGTCCTGGCAACTGGCAACATACAATTATTTGATAAACACACACACACATATATATATATGTATGCAGCTCTCCTGATCTGGGTAGCATAGGTATTCTGTGAAAAACTGGGTTTCCCCTTTTGCTCATGTTGCTGAGCACTCCATAAAAATTTTAATCACTGAGTCTGATATTCTACACTACTATACTGATTCTATGCAATGATATATCCAGTGTTCCAAAGATGAAAGCTCCTACCCACAAGTGCTCAGGCCCCACCATCTCTTTGACAACAATACTTAGCTACAATTCCTCTCAGTTCTATTCAGTTTTCCTTCTCAGTTTATTTACAAAATGTTGGGAAAAAGCAGGTTTCGTCTGTTTGTAAGTGAAATGCAATGGAGATTCTTGTTTAAAGCAATTAGAACATCTGAAAGCAGAGATGGATCAGTCAAAATGGAACTACAGGGGCATTTAGTTTTCTCCTACCTACTGTCTCATCTCTCTCTTTTTTTTATTTAACAAGCAGCATTCACCTCTTTGTTTACAATGAGAACACTACTCCTGAAGCTGGCGAGACTGACCACAGTTTGTGGAAGGATCCTCAAATTGTATAAATTTCCATAGTTCTTCTGGATGCGAATATGGTTGTTGAAACTTCAGGCTATGAAGTCCAGTCCTCTGTCCTTGTAACCTCCCTTGTTTGTTGAGGGTTTTTTCCCTCCAATATTTTTTTTTAATTTATTTTCTGAGTCTCTTATTCAATTATTTTTTATAAATTGGGGAGAGTAGAACAGACAGAAGTTCTATAGCTGTTGGAAATTACCAATTTCAAATGTGAGAAAATAATGGAGGCTTAGCTTATGGAGGGATGGTCAGAATACTGAAATATCCAACATGATCATATCTCTTTATGGGGCAGAGGAGAGCAGACAGAGTAGACAGGCAATTCATCACTTCCAGATTTGAATGCAGCTATATCTCAGCTTCAACATTCTGTTCTCATTATTTGAAGATCTAGATTCTTTTTTTATCCCTTGCTTAGTTTGTTGTTTTATGGATTTTTTTTTCTACATCCTAATAAAAATCAAAGGATTTATGAAAAAGTATTACTCTAAGTGTCTTGCAAATATTACAGCAAATAAAGATAAGAAAATATCTTCATGATTTTAGAAAATCATAAAAAATCAAACCCTTTTTCAACTGTCATTTGCAAGGCTGTACTTCATACAAATTAGTGCTAATGACATAGGGATTTTTTTGAAGCCAAACTTGTAATTTATTTTGATGCCTAAGCAGAAATGGCATGGAATGTTTGGGTAAAACAGTTCATGTCATAACTAAAAGTGCAGTCAAGAATGCTCCATCTTCGATCCTGTGCTTAGCATAAAATGAATACAGAGAAAAAATTATCTCCCCTTGAATACACTCATGCATATCCATATAAACACAGTAGGCTGGGGTATTATCTAAGTCATATGAGACGTCTCTGGTTTCAGAGGATTGTGCAATGTCTTCTTCTCCCTGCTCGCACCCATTTTGCAGGTTATTTAATCACTGTAGTGTTTATACATCATGCAAGGATCCCAGCTGCTAGGACAGCCAATAGCCAACAGCCAAAACCTGTTTATAGGACAGAGCTGTTATCACCAGTAAAAGTTAAAGCTGAGTCGTCGACAGAAAACAGTACTTGGTTTTGAAGTGCAGTGATGTATCAGTAAAGCATCAAGTTACATACTATAGGAACTCACACCAAGTCTCCCAGTAAAATTAATTACAAACCTGTCCCTCAATTCAAGAACTAATTGCCAAACATATATTTACTCAGCTGAATTTACATACAGTCTTTCAAGGAGCATATGTTTCCATTTTGTGGCTCAATGGCTAGCAAAAATGACACTGTTAAGCTAAAACTTTTCATTACTAAAAGGATGAGCTGAATTTTTGCTGTAAGACATCTCTGAAAATGTCTTTCACAGCAAGTGAAAGTGGGCTGATGAACAGCTCTTGCTTTCAGAAGACTTTAAAAGAATACATCTCAGACCATGAACTATTCTGTTGTAGCACATGTTAGGCCAGACTGTGATCTCAGTCGTAGAGTAGCATGATAACACAAACTGCTACGCCAAAGTAAACATTCTACTGGTTTCAGCTGAGCTATTTCAGATTCGTATAAACGGAAGAACAGAACTCAGACTAAGTATATTAAATTAATGACGTGTGGCATGGTCAGAATGCAGTAATCTATGCATAAACACTTTTAGAAACTGTCAGGGCTTGTTAGGTACCCATCTTTGAAAAAAAAAAAAAAAAATTAATTATTTCCATGTCTCTTTTCAGAGTATAGGTCTATAGAGAAAAAGGAATAAAGTCCTACAAAATTCCTGAAATATGAAAGTCCATAATTACTATGCATTATGTACAAAAGCATTGTTTAGTATACTTCATATCATGGATTATCACAACTGGCATTTACAAATTGTCTTTTAAACTGTAAGCATCCATCTATCCACAACTGAAGTATTCTTGAAGATTAAGTTTAATGTGTCATGAATCATCACGGTTTAATATGCATGACACAGTTTCATTTCACACATGTTCTGCATGGGTTGATTGTCGTGTATACCAATATCAAGCAGATGTAAATTCCTTAATTCCTGTGCTCCCAAAGTATGTTTTAATTACTAGGAGGCTTCATGCAGAAAAAGAGGAAGGTATTTTTAAGTAGATTTAATGAAAAATCTAAAAGAAAAATCCATTCGATTTTTTTTATTTCATGTTCTTAACCATATAAATTTTAATATTAAAAAGAATACTTGATATGCAAAAGGAACTGCAGACTGCTTTGATTAAATGGCACATTTCTTGTTGTAAACAAGAAAATAAACTTTTATTATTTTTCTAATAAAATACCTGCCAACTGAACATGAGCTTGGTGATATGAAATGTTTCTGCAAGTCATGGTATGTGTATACAATGCCTAAATTTTTCAGTTTGTGTATTTTGCAAAGAAATCAAAATTCCATGTAAAATATCACTATTTGAATTCTCACATCAACCATGCCATAAGTCCTATTTTATGTATGATCTAAATTAAAAAGTCTTTAAATGTAAAATATTTCACAAGTCTCCACTGTACAGAGGTCAGAAATGAACATGAGAAGATATCCTAGGTTCAAAATAATGTATAATGAGGAAGCTGTTTCCAGACAGCGCCAGCTCCCACTTTCTGCTCTGTCAGGTTCAAGGTGTGATTCTCCAGGACCTGGAGAGCAGCAGAGCTACAGGTTAGGATGGAATAATGTTGAATAAAAACTGTGAGCTTTAACTAATTGCTAATTTGGTCAAACGGAATTGTTACTGTAATTTCCATGGAAGTTAGAGTACATCTCTAGCTTTGGGCCCTATCTTACTGAAATCAACAGGAATAGGAATGGCTTCCAAGGACTTTGCACTAGAATTAGTTTTAGCAACCTGAAATAGTCTCCACTTGAAAATAAATATCAAAACTGTTACAAATAATAATAATAATAATAATAATAATAATAGTAATAGTATTATATTTGATATATACATGTTAATGTTAGATAGCATAAATAGCAGATACACAGTAATAGTAGAAAAAATATTATCAAAACTAAGATGTTGAGCCCTGCCCCATGCCAGAGATCTTTTTGCACAGCAATGTTTTCAATACCATACAAATTATTTAAATTTCTTGCCTACATACTGACATAAGCTGGCATAGAGCTTTCAAATGAAAATGTGAACTGACATTTTGAAAAATAACAGACAGTCATGGCACTAAAGTGCAGTCACCTCTGTCCTCCAATATTCTCTTTTTTTCCTTTTTCCAAATGCCTATATAAGTGCAAGATGCCCAGAAACAAAATGTGTATTACCAATGAAACCTACTTCCAAGGCAGTTAAAATACATTTCCAATGAATTTACTGGGCCAAGAAATGAATCTACATCGTAGAATTCACACACACCAAACAAAACACTTGTGTAGATTTCTAAAAACATACACTCATCGCATTGCAGGAAATCAAGCCTGCATTCCTTGTTCAACCAAAATTCCCTGGCTGGAATAACAGCTTTAGATGTTATTTTTGTTCTCATTCTGTTTTACTTTGTTAAATCACCAGATTTCTTTTTTCTTTTTACTTAAGATAAATGTGTGAAAGTGCCTCCTTTCCATTCATGGATGTTATCTTCCTCAAACTTCAAATGATTCATCTGGGTGAATGTAGTTATAAATAATTTATCAAGATACATAACCAGTTGTTAGGGAAAAAAAAAACCCAAAGGAAGAATATCATTGCATAAAATCTGAACATTAAAATTGATTTTTTAAAAAATCAATCTTTAATTGGTTTTATTACCTCCTAATCCAGGTCTGAGGCGATTATCATAACCATCCAGAAGTCTGTCTAGAATTCTTGTGAAGATGGTGATGTTATTCTTAGCTTCATCTTCCAGTGAGTCAGCCAGCACTGATCTAAATGGACATTTTACATTTTAGAAAATGCTAAGTATGCTTTAACATACACTCAACATGCAGTTTTTTCAGGCTGGCCTTTAACTTGCTGCACTCTAATAGGAAGGGTGTAGTTAACAATATATGAATATACGATTTATATGTATATATACAAAAAGTTCAGAAATATAAGAGTCAACGACATACTATTTAAAATTTCAAGGAAGTAATTTTCCAGTAGCCTCTACTTCTACTCATCATTGCATCACTGTGAATGCTACTTCAAGCTTCCATAACACTGTGTAGGTGAAAAAGTCTAAAAGAGCTTCCCAGGCCTCAGTGGCGCATCACTCAAGAACCGTCTCCTTTCAGCTCCGTCTTATCTGTCCTCACTTAAATATACTCTATCTCTGGATAAATCCTGTGGATATGCTTCCACCCAATGGTCATGTAATGTACATGACCAGAAGAACTAACATGAGGGAAAACTCCAGTGATCATGCTCAGGGAGTCCTCTGACGCCAGCGGTTGGTGGGTGGAAACAACAATGCTGACTAGCAAGCTGCAGGATAGCTGTGGATAGCCTTCATATTTCTAAAATGCTATTTTGTCATAAAAAACATTATCTGATATTCCACTAGATGCAGACAAACCTTACAAAAGTTGGATAGAGAAAGAAATGATAAATGACGAATAAAGAAGAATCTATAGATCATCGATTGTTTCAAAATTCCCCAATAAAGAAAGAGACATTACAGCTTTTATGGGTCAGATTTCTATGGAAGGGGCTGGAACATGAACCTGCTGCCCAGGCAGCTGTGGTGCTTAACAGTCCTCCCAGACCTGGGCATCCAGACCAAAGGGGTTTTGTGCCAAGGAAACACTCACATGCAGAAAGCCTTACACATGCAAATATTACTGTGCCAACAATTTTAAGCACCATGCATGTTAAATGCATGAGCTCATTAATCTTACCTACTTAATACCAGCGTACTGATATCAAGGGAGTAAATCATCATATGCTACACGCAGTACCATTTATACCTTTTCCAGCCATCTAAATTTTTAACCTGAAATGTTTGAGTATTTATCCTCTCTGAATGAACTACTGATCAAGGCATTCTGAATGCCATAAAAGTAAGCATATTTTCTTCCTCCTCGAAACCAAAGGTAGGTTTGGGTGATGTTTTCTACAAAGCAAGCTAGAAAATTACTAAAGACAGGCTTTATGTTGGTCTTCAGTTCAACAGCATAGAGCAAGTATTTAAATGTAAATCATTGCAGTCTGTGCTTTCCATCACATAAAACACACAAACGACCCAAATCAGATAACTTAGAAAGAACATGTCAAAATGTCATGTGCGATTTTACTAATGGATCAGTTTCTTCTTCATTTTAATTACAAGGTGGCTCATTTTTTGTTTGTTAAATGTATTTCTGTACCATAAGTCTCTGCCATTTTTAAGCCTCTTTTTGAGATACAATAGTTTTTTGAACTCAAGATTCCACTAAGAAATTAGATAATAAAATTATATCAAATTAGGGTCGAATCCTGAAAACTTTACTCAGGCATAAACTCCTTAATTACGCATGTAGTCTCTTTGACGTCAGTAAGATTACTCACTTGAGTAGGGTTTGCAGGATCTGGCCCACTGTGACTCAACTAATACTGCACCATAGTTAGGTATAAAGTGAAATAGAAAACACAGTTTCAGGAAATATTTTGTTCACTGAGAAACAAACAAAAATAATTGGAGGCTTTTTAAATCATATGAAACTGGCATTATTTGGCATACAACACTTACCATATTAGGACAAGACCTACTGCAGCCAAAGAACCAAAGCAAGTAAACTGAAGTTGCAAACTACAATTAATTGCAAGTTTAGGGACTGCAAGCAACACAAAAGTATTACATGATTAAAATTACTGCCTTTTATGCTTTCGCTTTACAAAGGGAGAACTTTAACATAAGAAAAGTTGATTAATAAATTATGTTATTGTTTTATTATATGTGATTGTGAAGTTGTATGCTATCTCCACCTAGAGGTTTAAAGCTTTAATATCATTTTGAATTGTGTTATGTTTGACTAAAAAAAAAAAAAAAAAAAAAAAAGACATGCCCATATTACAAAATATTTAAGCATTATTTTAGAGATTGTGATTTGCCGTGTGACTTTGTGATAATCTATTTCTCCATCTTGACTATTCTGTATGGTACAGAAAAGCACTGATACAGTAACTCCAACAAATCTTTAAGATCCAGTAAGGCATTTAAAGAGATTGCTATTTTAATGGTGAAATAAAGCATGAATTCACTAACTGTTTAAAGACAAGAGACTAGGGTTTTATGGTCCCTAAACTACATTCTACTGCATTTGCTCAGGAAACTATGTAATACTGCATTCAAACAGCTAAGAAAGATTTTTTTCATTACATTACTACATACTACACTTTTATAAGCTCTCACACGAGCTTATTCTTAACAGATCAGAACATACATGTTTGCACTGAACAACAAAACAAAATATCCTCTCACCTTGTTGGTAGCCACACCAATAAAACGAGAAGAACCAACTGCATCTCGGAGAGTGTCAGCTTCCTCTTCATCGCCGCTCTTAGCAAAACCTAACGGTGCAAGAAAAACACAAACCCACTCTCAACGACAGTCTCCGCCAAGCAGTGCTTTCAACTTAACTCGAGGAAGAATATGTCACTTCACTGGAGAAACCACTGAAATTCCGCAGCACTTTTCACTACTAGTAACTTATTGTATCTCCATCTTTCCCAACGATCCTGCTCTGTGCAAAGAGGCAACGTATGATCAGAAGCGGCATGTGAGCCGGCGCATCAGATGCTTTCCTGTTCCGTGATGTGAAAGCCCCAAGATGAACAAAAAATAAAAACCGTATGTATGGGAGGATGGGGGTTTAACCACCCCTCGCCTCACTACGGCACACCGCAGCCGGGGGGGCGGGCGGGAGGCAGAGTCATGCCATTCGGTGCGGGGACCGCGGGCGAGTCGCCCCCGCCGCCGCCGAGCGCCCAGAACGTTTGACAGCTGCTCGGCGAAGCACCGGCGGCCGCCGCCGCCGCGGGCGGCAGTGGAGGGGGGCGCGGGGCGGCGGCGGGGGGCAGCCCCCGCAGGCCGACAAGTTGCGGACAGCAGCGGAGCCCTGCCGCGGGCAGGCGCTGCCGGCGGCCGGGGGGGACCCCCCGGGGACCCTACCTGGGAGCTGCGGGCGGCCGGGACGGGGAGGGAGGGGGGAGAGGGAAGGAGGGCAGGCGGCGCGGCCGGGACCGGGCGCGGCCGGGACCGAGCGCCGACCGAGCGGCGGGCGCGCGCGCGCGTGCCTGTGCGCGGCGGTGCGCGGAGGCGGGCGGGGCGGGGGGCGCGGGGCTGCCCCACGGGGCGCGGCGGGGACGGTGCGGGCCGCGCCCACGGCACAGCACACCCGGCCCGCGGCACAGCACACCCAGCCCACGGCACAGCCCACCGAGCCCCCGCGGCCGGTGCGGGGGGGGGGGGGGGGGCAGAGAAGATGCAAGTCACCCTGGCGAGCCGCGGCTCCGGCCCCGGGGGCTCCCGCGGCCTCGCAGCCCTCGCGGAGCGGGCGGGCGCGGCAGCGTCGCCGGTGCGCGAACGGGGAACGGGGCGGAAAGCGCTCCCCAGAACGGTACAAGACATCTTCCGTGGCCTTCCCTCCTCAGCCTTTTAATAGCCCCTTGTCAAGTACGAGTGTGACAGGGCACAACCCCGGCAGCCGCCCGGCGCTCCCCGGTGTGCGGCGGGAGCGGGGAGCCGCCAGCCCCGGCTCCCACCCCGCTCCCCGGCTGCCTCATTAACATTCCCTTCCCCACTTGCCCATTGGCACAGTCTAATTGAAATGCAGAGAGAAGAAAAGTCTGTCATTTAAAGTGAGCTCAGGATGCAGGCAGACAAGGAAACAAACCTCCCTTTTTTTTTCCCCCATCAGATTGCATTACTTTCTGTTGTGTTCTCTTTTAAAGTACGTTGCCCTCCTTTCGTATATGCAGTCCTCCTCTGGTAGTAACTGGACCACTGCTAGGATTCATTCCCATTGATTTCAGGTTTTCCAGAGCAAGTGGAACAGGACAGGCTTGATAATTAAAGATAAGGGCTTATATTTAGTGTATCCTCATTTTGCATTGTTAACTCAGAAATAATTAAATAATGCTGGCAGTAATGTTGCAGCTTTTTTTTTTTCTTTTTAAACCATTCCCTGCCTATCTCCTGTTCTTTCATTCTCTTAAATGCCTAAAGCACCAATCTCAGTTATCCTCTCTTTATGTCACTGGCCTACCTACTTCTTGCATTTTGACTGAAGTTGTTTTGATGATGTTTGCTTCTGAATCAATACCAGTTCCAAAATGAACATTTGAAATTGGATGCACAGACATTGAGGGGGAGATAGGAAAACAAGCAATAAAAATTTCTTCAGTTACCTTTAGAATAAACTACCAAAAATTGGAGGATTATTTTTCCTACTCCTCTTTCTGCTGTTTTATATTTGTTTTCTGCTTCCCAATTACTGTAGCTTGCAACTGGAGGTGTCCTTGTTTTCCTTCTCCTTTAGTGGCTTAATGACTCTACAACAGAGCACGAGAAACAAAAGAAGGAAGAAAAGCTCTTGGGCTGTCAAGACAATTTGTTACTTCCAACTTTGAGGTATTTCATAACTTGCAGTAAGACTGGGAAAAGAGAGAGAATGAGCTGAATGGCTTTGTTTTAAAATAACCAGTAAAATGACAGCCCAAACTGTGGGACATGACAAAGATGAAGACACAAGTGCAGAAACTGAAATCTGAACAACACTCATTCAGCAGCTAACTAACCCTGGATGTGTTTAAGGTACAAGGACCTTCTCTTTACCAGTCCAGATGTGAAAATGTGCTCTGTTCATTGTCAGTTAAGCATCTATGGTCAATCTAAAGTCTTCTTTGGATCTTCCTGTAAGTTCCATGTATTAGGAATTAACAACTGATACTTAATGCAGAATCAACCCTTACAGTAAACAGTTTTACTGACTTGTCCTAAGCAAGGGTGGCTTCAGAAATATCAAAATGCAGGGGAAAAAACCAGAAAAGTCCACTAAAAATGAAGAATCTTCATGATTTACTTTTATGTGAAATATACTATTTAATCAAAGCAGAATATTTTTTTCCATGGGTATTTATTGCATTCCTTTCCAAAAACACACTCCCAGTAACTATAATACTGAAGCTGTAATCTAATTTTCATGTGTGAGTTGCATCAGAAAACAGAAAAACACTTTCATTAAGGAAAACAGTTACAGTGGCTCCATGTTGCTGTGATAGCATATTGTCATTCTTCAAAGGCCACATGGGGTAGGTATGTATTTATAATGAGCTTGTGTTCACAGCCTTCCCCAAGAAAAACATCCTGGGTTTTAGGCTCTAATCACAATTATTACCTGTGATATTCTTTGAGATTTGCCATAGGTTCATGCACTGAAGTCATGCTTCAGATTTGAAACTTGAAAATAACTTCTCATTCCCATTTTAGACAAGTTGGACAGCCCTATGGGGCATCCCAAATCACAGGGAAGCTGAGTACAGCGACAGACTACTGTGGCAGTGTGAGAAATAAGAGGCAATGTAATTACTAACAAAGAGAAGGTTTTTTATGCTAGTCCTATGTGCTTATAACCTGTGCTGCTGAAGAACTAGAAAGTGTTTGGGAAGAAAAGTGTGGTATCGGTGGGGTTTTATTGGTTTTTTGGGTTTCATGCAAGCATGGCTCACACATACTAAATGTGTTAGCTCTCGTCAGTTAGAAACAGTGTGCTTGGGTCCCCTCAGGTACACAGTCAGCAGGGAACCTTCTCTTCCTTTCTGCATTAATATTTGTGATGTGGTATTGAATGCTGTCATTCACTATTGAATTTCAATTAGCTCTAAGTGATATGTAGCATACAACACTTCACTTTGGTTTGTGAGACACACCTCAGTCCTGATGCAAGTGCCCTGGAAGGTGGGGAATCATGCCCTTGTTTTGAAATAGTCCACTGGAAGGCAGTATATTTGCTGAAATATAGAAATAGAATTCAATTCCTATTTTGATATTTAAAAAAAAAAAGTCTTAAAAACAAACAAAGGATTTTACAATCCTATTATTCCTCCTTGCTAAGGATCTCAAAACTCTGCACAGGCTGATAAATGATGTCTCACAATTCTATTGTGAGATTGGAAAGACTTCCTCTGTGAGCACAAATTGAATAGCGGGGTAGGTATGTGACATTTCATAAGCACTTCTTACAGTTTAGAGGTAATAGAAACACAAGAGAGGTTAAGCCCAGGCTAGTCATTATCCAGACTGCAGAACACTAGATTGAATGCTTCCTTTGAAATTGTGCTTAAAGGAATCCTTTATGTGACAAAGTTATACCATCCTTCAGGCGAAATAAATTACTCAAAAACAATACCTTCAATTTGTAACCACTAGGGAGGTGACAATAATCATTTTCTGTCATGGACATAATCAAGTAATGCAAAACAGAACTTAACACACAATGCTGATCTGGGGTACATTCTGCAGTATAACAGTTACAGACAAAAATTTTGGCAGATTGAGGTAATCATCATTTACTTTGTACTGCTTGAGAATAATCCCCACCCTTATATCTAGGCCAGCAGCACTCTGAGCTGTAAGGATATAAACAAGAGTCACTGGAGTTCAATGAAGTGATGCGTATGTGTGAAAGTTACAGAATCACAGGACACTCTGAGTTGGAATGGACCCACAAGGATCACATTGTATGTGATATAGCAGTGGATTTTTTAGTAAAAATTATTATTTTTATATTTTTTACCTCTAAAAAGCATGAAAATACCTCAATATTATATTATTTTTGATAGACTGTTTTATTTATCCTTTTAAAATTTTAATTATATTAATTTGTTAAACATTCATGCATAAATGCAAGTGTTTGAGATATGTATCCAAGATATAATTTCTGTGTATATTGTTTAATTTTATTTATTTAAATAGCAACAAAATAAAACATTGAAGGGGAAATTAGATTTTGACCAAGTCAGTCTCTAGACTGATTCATCATGCAGGTACATGAATGCTAATCTGAGCAAAAAGAAGAGAAAAGCTGTCTCTTTTCAGGAGCAACTACACCGTATGTCCCAAAGAATGATGATGGAAATCAGATTTTTGTAAGAAAAGAAGACTCAGGTCTCCAAAACTCTTCCAGTCACTGACTTTATGCAAGATTGCACCCCAAATTCCTCAGAGAGGTGAAATTATTTTGAAATGTGTCATCTGACAGCAGATGCTAGTATAATAAACAAGAATGCAAGAAAAATCTTACAGCTTTATGCAGTTCTCCCTGTTGTAAGTGCCTGAGCAACTTTCAGTCTTTAGAGTTTTCCATCTGACTGTGACACTTATGGATTGGGAAGAGCTGCTGTGTCTGTCCAAAAGCTCCAGCTATCATACGTACCCTCTGATTGAAGAACAAAAGCAAAGGGCCAGTGCCAACTTTATTTCAACTGTGTGCAATCAGCTTGAAGTTACTTTCTGATGTGCACTGGGAAGAACACAGCAGAACAGGACATTGAAATGAGCTTTCCCACCTTAAATATTGATGAATGTTTTTACTTTCCCAGGATTATATTTCTGCCAAATTTGAACCTTAAATATCACATGAGGATTTTTAGTTTTCTCCAAATACACTGAGATCTAAAGAAAAAGTGAGAAGAGACTCTTTACTGTTTATTAGCAGCAGTGAGAATTACTTCATCCTTTTAGAGGAGATCTTCCTTGATGGGACAAATGTAAGGCAAGCAGCAGAGGGCAATACAACACATGCACTGGCTGGGATGGGTAAGGTCAGATGAATAGAACTGGCTAATAGTTCTTGTTCTGAGTGAGAGGAAGGGGAGATCTGCTTTTGTAAAAGCAATAGTTTCCTTCAACTGCAAATTCATGTTTTCTGTTTTCTATCTCTGAGGAGACCACATATCACAACAGGCTAAAAGTGGATTTACAGCAGAATGAAAACTTTGCTTGAGTAGATAAGACAGAATGCAGAAAATGCAAATATATGTTAAATTGTTTCATAAATACAGTCACATTTGTGTTACTTGTACAAATACAACATATTTTATCTTTCAGCTGTTCACTTAAATATTCTTTGGACTCTGAAGATGTTTTTTATATATAACAACACAGATCCATGATATTTCATGTATCAGGTGTCCAGTTTGGGGCAAGTAGAGCTTGTTGCTTACAGGGATAGAAATATACTTAATTTCTGAAAATCAGCATTACAACATGGAACTACATTGAGATTTATTTTGTTTGAATATATTTTGAAGTTCAAAACCAAGTCCCCTTCTATTACTACAGTGCGATTGATATTCAAAGAAAATTTTACAGACATGGGACATTTATGGTCACCCCTTTTTCCAGGAATACAAAGAAAAGAGAGATACTAGACTTCTGTCATTTTGTGTTGCCCACAAAATTGCCATGTGCCACTTGCAGTCTGGAAATATGAGGAATCATTTGTCAATGATTGTCTTTCTTTCTGCAAAAGCCTCATCTCCCCTTGTCACTAGCTAATACAGACCATCCTAAATAATGTTTGATGTGCACAAGTTTATCAATGACTAATGGATTTGCCTAAACCTCAGGGTCCCAATCGAATTCTGAGAGGATGTGCTTCTGCATATCTTTTTCCCCCACCATAATGCAGTCTATAGGCAGATGATGCAATTGAACAGTGATATTTCTATAATAAAATATTTAATTAATTAGTTTAATTTTCCTTTGGAGGATTCAGCAACATGAAAGATCAGTAAAAACAAGCAGAAAGTTAAATGGAGTATAGTATGACAAACAAAAGAAGTAATGAGGGATGAATTTTTCAGAAAAACTGGTTCAAAATGTACTATCTTTTGTGAACAAGCACAAGTCACTTTAGAACAAAAAGCACAATACAGACCTTCAGACTGCCTGAAAAGTGCTGAAATGTGCAGGTCTGGCAGTGACAGGTTTTGAGTAGAAAAAAATCATGGGGTTTTTATTCCTACTAGGAGTGCATTTAAATTTTTACTTAAAAAAAATTGATGCTTTTCTAAATTCCTGATCAAAAAAAAATCCAGCCTTTGGCCTGATATCAGTGCTGCTTAAAAGAATGACCAGAATTCAGTTAGCAGTCTGTTCAATAACTGCTTCTAGTCAGGAAAGGTTTTGTTGCTGATCCAAGATTACCTTATCTCGGGTGGCAAAAAGTCTGTATTTTAAAAATGATTCTGCCTCCCAGGACTTCAAAGAGTTTCCTCCTGTCTGTGACTAGTGTTAGCTAAAACACACACAAAGGTGTTCTTCTATCACTAACAACAAATAATCAGAAGACAGTTCTAACATGAAATGTCTTGCCTAGCTTCAACAAGAACAAGAAAAAAAATCACATTACTCCATACTTGAGTCAACTATAGCTACAAATGTAGCTACTCCTATTAAGTCTAGGTAGGAAAATTTAGAAGGAAGAGTATTGGTCTATGTCCCATGGTTTTTAGAAAAACACATAAACCACTTAATTGCTTAGGAGTGTAGCTGCAGTCTGTAGCAGTTCACATACATTTTGCAAAAGCAGAGAGCTATTTATAAATATATCTGGGCTAATTAACTGCCATTATAGTGTTTTTATGCATTTAAAGGAAGAAGTATATTTTTGGCACACTGCAGATGACATATTATTCAGGATGACAAATCATAGTAAAGTCAGTGGCATCAACAATGGCATAAACTGCTGGATTTTAGTGCCTGCTCCATGTATTACTGTTTCTTAAATTGCCCCTTGCTGCACCATGAGATAGAGAGATCAGGGAACTCCCAGGGTGGGCAGATGCGAACCACCCCAGCTCCTGAGCAGCTGGTTAGATGTGTTCTCAACCAGCTTTGCTGGAGGAGGTTGAAGTACCCAGTGAGTGCTCCTGGCACACACCTAAGCTGGCAGTATGAATCCTTCATTCTTCCATGCTTTTGGGGAAGAGACCTTTATGTGAATGAAGATCCTCCATCTCATCTCTACTCACTTCCATATGTGCAAATGCCAAATACAGCCCTCGGCCTGAGAAAAAGTTTCAGACTTTGGTTGCTGTCAGTCCAACCGCATTTCATTGCTTTGAGAATACCCCAGGCTAAAATAAATAAATAACCAGATAAATGGATGACAGTTGGTAATAACAGTCCTGATTTGCTTTCCACTCATTTCAAGTAATGAATCACCAGTGAAAGAGTGATGACTCACTAAGGGAATCCAAAACATGCTTTCTCTTTCATATGTGAGTCTGCAGTAGCCATCCATGCTCCAAAGGGGGAGAAAACTGGGCTGCATTTTAATATTCATTTTCATAAAGCTGAGTCAAAACTGCCTGTAAGCACAAAGGGACTTTTAAGGAAAAACAGAACTGCCCTCATATCTCACTAGTGTAGTGAGAATGTATAAATAGCAGCACATGGCAGATAGTTTGTGTCAACACAATATTACATTTGTGAGCATCTGGGTAGCAACTGCTGGACACAAGAGCGCATTTGCTAGCAAAATATTATGCTGTTGTCTGCAAAGTAAGTGCTGTGTTACCCAAAACCTCTGCGAGGTGCTGTTCAAGTCTGCCACACAGAAAGAGGTGCCCCAGGTAAGAGTTTATTAAACACCACCAAGATTATTTGAGAAGAGACAACTTGCTGTGTTCTAATTGTGGTAACTGGCTTTATGCTCTGAACTCTTTCTGATGGTCTCTATTGTCTGTCTAAGAACGTGGACAGGTTCTCACCTTGGCCTGGCCTGTCCCTGGCATGGGTGGACAAAGTTGCATTCAAAGTTTTGGGAACACAGCGACAGGTCCCTCTTCCCTGATTGGATTTCCCTCTTCCCTCCACACAATTTTCTCACTGTGCCATCTGACTTCAGACGCCTGATCTGGTGTACTGCAAGTGCCTTTTTTCTGGAAGCCCTGAGGAATGCTGTGGGTGCACAAGGACAGATTCTTCCCTGGCGAGTGCATCTGATGAAGGAAGCTTTTAGCTAACCTGAAATTATCAGTGTATCAAAAAGCAGGCATGAGCATGGCCAGAAGTCACAAGCATGCTTGGGAGCTGGGGCAAGATCCTCCCCAGTGCTGGCTATTTTGCAGGATAAATAAACATCAGAGGCAGGGGGACAGTGATCTGGGATGCAAGACACTGGAGACACATGAAGGAAGAAAGTCTATTTTTAATCTAATTTGCCAAGCCACATATCTCCAACTTCCAACTCCACACTTCTCACAGAATTCCTACTTCTCTCTTTTGTTTCCCATTTACCACAGGCAACAGTTCACCAGGAACCTCATATCATCATATTTTTGACTGTGTGGTTTTTTGAATTATGTATTTAACAAGCAGTATTACTTCCACAAAGAATTGTAGATGGCTGTTATGATTCCCTACCACAGTTTGTCTTCAAGAAAAAAAATTGTAGCTGAATGGAGTCCTATTTAATTTTTGATATTTTAAAGGACTACAGGGGCCTCTGTTTGCATAATGACCTTTCTATTGCTCTGAACCTAAAGCCTACATTAAAATAAGTACCTGGCTAGGACATTAGTCTACCAAAACCTTCCAAACAGGTTACTAGTTCAAGAAACTATAGAAAACAGGCAAAGTAGCTTTTGGCAGACTTGCAGCTTTTACATATTTTCACTGGAGTAGTCTGGATTGCAGTAAACATCTTCCTTCCCTGGTTTTATGTCACCCAATCTAGTCCTTCATAAGTACATTTAGGAAACAACGGATATTAAATAATTTCTTTCTGCACAGCAGCAAGTCTATCTTTAATTCAGGTATAAACACAGTATTTCCTCAAAATCATTCTTATCCTGCATTAAAAAAAAAAAAAAAAGGGGGGGGGGAATCAAATGGATCAAGCTATACAAAGAGACCATAAAAAAAATTTATTTAACTACAGCTCTCTTACCTTAGTGTCTTACCTCTTCAGAGAGATTTTCTTCTCAGTTTCCTGCATTTTCTACCGTCCTGTTCTATTTTAAAAAAGAGATTACAGGCTTTAAATTTCTCCTCTGTTACACCACAAAAACTGTGGAAAAATTACTATTTCAAAGTTATTTCTTTTATTTTGTGTACATTATTTTAAATGTAAAATGATTCTTTGGTGTTTCATCACTTAAACTGAAAAATATTTTTGCAATGAAGAATTTTGTACTTCACTAATACCCCAGCAGTTTTGAGAACGTCTCAAAAAGTGTGAACAGTACTTGTAAAGTCAAATAACTCTCCTCAAATGACTCAACAGGGTTTTATTTGGTTGAAAATGAAAGATTATATGTAGGGTTGATCCTGAATACTATTTCAACACCTTATTTAAACAAACTCTGCTTGTTTGCAATTTCAATTATTTATATATTTTTTAGTTCAGTTCTATCATAAATGCGCTTTGTAAAACAATAATTGTATGCAACCAGCTGAACATTGTTGTACCTTTCTTCAAGTTTTTATGTATCTCTTCATTCCAGTCATCTGGCAACCCAAGCTGTAATGTTAAAACCCCCAAACAATGCACTTGACTTCCACAGGGCCCATAATTCTTTCCAATTTTTTCACTTCAGAGACTCATTTGAAGGTGAGTCCTTTGGATATATTTCACAGAAGAATGGCAGGGACTAGCACATTATTCCACCCAAATACTTGTGCTTGAGTGAGAGCATCCCTATTCTGCAGTTATTTGGCAGAGAAATGTGAAGCTTTGACGTAGTTCGAATTCTGTTAACAGTGTAGAATTTGGCAAGATGAGTGACAAAAATAACATTGACACTTCTGATAACATCGGCACTTTTGAGATGGCAGGGTGAACACTTCATGGTTCATAACTCCATGGTTCTAGTGCTTTTAATTCAGGTTTATCTGCAGGTTGCTCTATACTAGATGTATCAGGATGAGTCCCCCTAAAACCTTCATGATTTTCATACAGTTTTTAGGAAACATATTTAAAATCCATATTTTAAAATATTTAAAATTTTAAAAAAGTTTTGCCTGTGCTCCACAACCTCCTTCCTGTACCTGCTATCTGATGGACTATATAGAGGAAAATTAATACATTATCAACTAAAAAATGGGAATTTTCTACATGTATTGGGTTTGGAATAATCCTGAAGTATTATCAGACCATGGAAGGACTATTAGCATAATATATTTATACAAGGACAATGTATATTTAATCAGTACTTAATGGTGATATAATAATAGGTTTCTCATAGAGAATGACAATATGATTTTCATCTTTCTGAATTAATAATCTTGCAGAATACTGAAGACCATTTTTACACTTCACTCACATGCAGACTGAAGAAATCTTTTTCTGAGCAAGTAAAGAAGTCTCTAAAACAAATCAAAGATGTGAGCACTGAGCACAGAAAACTAATTAACTTAAGGCAAGTAACCGAGAAAAATTAATGCTGAACTGGGGGTAGTTCAAAGACTTCAAGGGTAATAGTTTAAAATGAAGCAGTTATAGCCTTGAATAGTTAAGACCTTGTGAATTACTGTATTCTATTCAGAAGGCATGAAACATCACAGGTGAGAGGAATAGAAATAAGTCTGTGTGTACAAAGTGATGGGAAAGAGAAAGGAAGAGCTCTCACTGTATTCATAGAAGGGCAAGATTCCTGAAGATCCTCAAAGTCTGCTCAGGATATAGTGACCACTACTACTGCACTATGAACAGGGGCATGGATGCAGGGAGGTTGTCAAAGAAACACGTGCAGATGTTCCAGAAATTCTGAATTCCCTGTCAGGTGGTATGTCTGGTGGATGCGGCACCTGTGGCAGGGTCATCAGCACCCAGCATGTCCCATGTTTGTAAGTAGCTTCTTTATAGTGTTGCTAAATTCAGTGTTTGTTACTCAGAAAAAGAGAAGGTTCTGAATCACTGATGCAAAGTGGCACTGTAAAGGAAATGTGATCCTAGGACACACCAGGAAGATTTGTGCAGGATAAATAAAGCTTTAGTGCTTCAGTATAAGATGCTCATGTGACCCTGTCAGGAATAATAATGATCAGCTTTTAAATGGGTGTTTCAGAAGTAGGAATTGAAACTTGGAACATCTGTCCAAAAGGGCCATTGAAATGACAGGGCTACTTGTATTGCGGAAGAAAGTAAGAGTTTTCAAAGAGAGACAGGAAACTCTGATAAGGTGTCACTAGAAAACACCAAAGCAAAAAAAAAAAAAAAAAGATGTTGCTGCTGAAGGACAAAAGGGGTGAGTATCCACAGGCTTTTAGTAGATGTACCCATGAAAGTAGAGGTCTTCTAGCAAAGTGGAACAGCTGCAGTGGGAGACTAAGAGGGACAAACACAATAGTTGGTAAGAAGAAGGGAGTAAAGCCGCAGTTTGAACATCCCTTTCCTCAGTATTTGCTGTTTTGGGCTATATTTCTCCTTCTTTGATTAAACTTTGAAAATATCCTAAACTCCTCTTTTATCATCTTAAACTATATTGTCTACCAAAAGAGACTGGGAAAGCTATAGGCAGGAGCAGAGTGAGGTGTTTTACTTCTATACGTCTCAAAAATTTCAGCACTGTTTCTTGGTGTTAGAAGAAAAATAAAACCTAATTAATGACAACAATAATGCTATAATAAATATGGTACAAAACTGAGAAACCTTAACATAAGAAGCTACACTTTTGATGAATGTTAGTCTGGCAACAATGGTAACATCTATTGCATATATATTTAAATACCACCATTGTCAGGTTTTTGGACAGAGCTGTCTTCACAGAAAATTTTATTTTATTAGAATGAATAATGTATATTGATTCCATCTCAAACATACACAGGCAACCTGCCTTTTTTTCCAAGCAACCTCACTATGTCAACTCATTATGGTTAAGGAAAAGAGCTAATATTAAAATATGTTGGGTAAGGAATTTTATTACACTAAAGGTTTACCATGTCTCTAGATCACAAAATTACCTTTTTTTATTGTTGTTGTTGAGATTTCTTAGCTGGCTGAAACAAACTCTACCTTATTCCTAAAGGCATAAAGAACAAACTACAGCTCTTTTCCTTGTTTAATAAGTTTAGGATATTCTCCTTAGGGCTCAGAGTGGATGCAGTGACATCACAGTTGTATATTTTCTAAAAACATATATTCTAAATGCCTCAGAAGAGTAAAATAAGTGCTTTCACAAGTCAGAAATAAGTGAAGTTTCTCAAGTTTCATGAAAATGTATGCATGGGTGAAGATCAAGTGAGGAGATTTTCTGCTGAACAGGAGAGTATTTTTACAAAACTGCCAAAACACTTCTAAAATAGTATTTTTAATAATAGAGCATCTTATTTCATTTTACTGTATAGCAAAAATTACTGGCCCTACAGTATCACCGCAATTTCTTTGAAATCCTACTCCCTTAAGTTTATTTTTTCTTGATCTGAGAGAATGATCCATGATTTATATTTTTAAACGTATACACACACACACACTAAAAGACTGTGATTGATTAGGCCTGATTTTGATTAAGTAGATAGGTGTTGTTCATTTCCATCCCAAAAGGGATCAAGAAAGTATAAAATGAATGAAAAATATTAGCAAGTCATTTAAAAATGAATGTGATTGTAATCCATATCCCCCTTACCGTACCTAGAACTCTCAAGAACAAATGGCAAATGTATTCCAGCCACTGGTAAGCAAAGAACAGATAATAAATCTCAGAGAAATGAGGAAGGTTAATGGAAGACCATAATAGGGAAATTAAATTATCTCACAAAATTCAATTAGGAACTTTGATATCTAAGGCTAAAAGTAGAAACCAGAGGTTCAGAGATACCTGGACACAGAATTGTATGTAACTGAAACAAGAAAATATGGAACAAAACTGTTTTTTAGTAGAGAGAAATCAGTTTTACAAAGGTGGAAGAGGGACAGATGTATTCACTCCATTGAAAAATCTTCTTTTATAGCTGGATTGGATAGTGTTGTTTCGTTATATGCAAGCTGGATTGCATATCTGGATATTTTCTACACTGTGATCATCTGTCAAATCATTCTCAGTGGTCAGGAACACCCCCTGTCTTCTTGTCTCACATGGGAGTGCATTCCCCAGTGAAGTCTACAGCCTTGTTTTTAACCTTGATTAATTAAAAAAGGTAAATGAGTAAGACTAAACACAGAGAACAAAGAGTTTTCAAATACTTTGGGCTGCTATCAATGAGGGATACAGTTAACAGAGTAGTTTACAACCACTATCAACTTACTTCCAGGTCCTTATCCAGAAATACAGAAAAGCTTGTGCAAAACATCATTTTCTGATTTTATAAAAGACAGTACCACATTTTTAAAGAAGAAAATACAGGGATAAATGTTGTAGCACGTTCATAAAACTTGAAGTTAAAAGTATAACTAGAAGTTATGTCTTTCTGCAGCAAAAAGCAATTAAGTATCAGTTAAAAATAAATGTCTCCTGGAGCTCAAGGAATTGTTGTTCACACACTTGGCCAGGAGAGGGACTGCTGAAGTCTGAGTCATGCTCTGCCCAGAAGAAGCTGCCTTAGATATGCAGAAAAAGCATTTCCAGGGCAGTGCAGCTCCCAGGTAAAGAGTTTTGGTTTTGGTACTAATCTGCAACATGAAGGCTGTCGACCTGAGATTCAGTGAAGTGCCCAAACTTTCAAAAAATGAATCCACACCTCAAAAGTCAGCATCTTCCCCTAATGGATGAAGGGGTTTATTTAGACTGAAAATGACAGAAGCAATTCTTCAGGCTTTAATTAATTAATTATACAGCAACTACAATACAACTAAATCTCAGTAATGTCCAGGCTGACACCAGCAGTTAGCCAGTGGCCAGCAATCCTCTCCATTCATCTACCTCCCTTACCTGCCAGGCAAGCCTTTGGCCCTCTCTGGACATTTTTCATTTAACAAGCACAAACTGGGCGACTAGTTCTCCTCATACTATAGTAAGTAATGGCCAGTCTTCGCGAACGAAGAACCGGGGAAGGTCTTTACACCTTCCAGCCTGTGCATTGGATTTTTTAGGTGAGACACAGTGTGCGCGGAACTGAGCCCACCCTTTAATCCTGAGGTTCATCTGCCGGGGCCAAGCGAGCTTGGACGGTGGCAGCGAGGTCCTCAGGACGTAGATGGATTGCCTTACAGGGATAACGAGCTCCATCTGCCCGGGGAAGGGCCCCGACCAGGAATCGAACCCAGGTCTCTGCAGTGACAGTGCAGCACCTTAACCCCTAGACCACCAGGGGCTCATCAGTCTAACCTGTACACTTTTATGTTTCCAATAAAAGACCCAGACTTCCAAACAAAGCTTGGAAATACATATTGTTATCATCCTTATGTTCCTCCTTTTATATAACGACCTAATGCTGCTTAGTTTCAAACATTTTCTATTTACAGACCTCTAAAATCTTCTCAGTGGAGATATACAGTGAATTTAAGCCTACTAACAAAATGCTTTTCATGGTTCCATTTCTCAGACCCTTAGGGAAGGAATCCATACACTTTACAAATTGAAACCCACCATAATGTCCAAGCCTTATCTTAATTGCAATCAACCAGTGAATGTGTCCTGTAGCTTTAACTGTACCATTTGATTTTACAGGCCTGCCTGAAGGCAGAAGGATATAATTCCCATGTAAACAGTCTAAATTGGTGAGAATTGTCTTATATATATTGAACAGAATTGTATGTTTCATTTTACCAATGATTATACATTTTAAAGAGATATAACTATTAGAACTTCCTCCTTTAGTCAGCTAGAGTATCTTTATTTGTATCAGAAAAGTGCAAACATACCAATAAACTCAAGAAATTATTTTAAGTGTATGCATGTACTTTACAGCCAGAGGAGTAGTATTCTGGAGAGCAAATTTTCCATCTGCATGTGCAGTTGTCACCTCAGATAGGGCACTCACCTGTTATGTGTCTGTCCCTCATTATTCCAGTTGTTGATGCGTGCACAGTAACCAGCTCCCAGGCACACTGTGCCAAGACAACCAGTTGAGGCTCTATCCAAATTAGAACTTAAGCAGAATCTAGACCTTACATTAGATACTTCAATACATAGGGAATGCAGAAAGAGAGAGAGCTCAAACAAGGTCCATAATGGCTGCCTGGTATTTTCCTGAGCTTACAAGCACTTTAAAAATCAACCTGATATCTCTTTTTAGAAAATACTGAGGCATTTGGTTCTTCCACTCTAGGCAGATGTTTATCTGTCAAATGCATTCTGGCCCACCTCTCTCATAATGGCACCCCAGTCAGTGTCCTAGTTCTGTGTGATACTGTGAAAACTTGTCTATCAACATGCAACAGAACAAACTCCATCTCAGCTATGGAACTACATGCTGTTATGTAGAAACAAAAGGGATGACCAAACAGGATGGAGATCATGGCAAGTTTCCTGGGTATTGCTATCAAGACAGGTTCAGAAGTCAGCTTGCATAAACTTTGTACAAGCTATTTCCAGAAGCGATGTGTTCCAGAGACAAACCAAAAACAAAACTCCAAAACA